CACTCTCACCCCTATCCTCCACCTCTCTTGCCTACCTTTTACCGCTCTTCACTCCCCCGCTCCATTCCAGTCCCCACTCCCTCAACCCCTTCCCTCCCACACCATTCCTCCCCACGTCAGGTAAAATAGCCACACCACTCTAACCGTGGACTCCCTCGCCAGGTTAAGGTTATATCGTCTCTAACAAGGCCTACTTAGGTCTCCTTGGGTCGTCCAGCGGCATCACCTGAGGCACGGTCGCCCAGGATTAGGCGCAGCGTGCCGTTAAAGTAGCGTCAGGTAAGGGTTAGCTTGCTGTTAGGAAGGTAGAGGCGATGTTGAATTCTCTTTTTCTTCATTACTCTTATGTATTCTTCATCTGCTGTTGTTGTTGTATATTGCATTTTAGAATGATTATTATTATCATCAATTTGAATGTATTCATTTATTTACTGTTATTTTTTATCCATTATTATCATTATTCCACATTATGATTTTCAATCTTACTTTCTATCGTTGTTATATATCTTTATTAATCATTATAATTTTTGCTTATTTATTTCAATTATTATTATTATCATCACTTATCATTAAATATTAATTTTTTGTCTATCATTATATATTTTTCATTATTATCATTATTATCATTATCTTTGTCATTATTATTACTATTGTTATTATTATTATTATCATTACTATTACTGTTATCATTATCACTATCATTTTGTGTTGATTTTGAATGTTTTTTTCGTGTTATTGATGTTATTCTTCTTATCCTTTTAATAACCAACGAGGTTGTTATCACAGCATCTTCAGCCGAGAATTTTGCCAAAGACGTTTATGCTCCAGTTAAGCCTTTGGCAGTTTCGATCAGCTGTTTTGTCTTATTTTTACTTTTCTTATTTTTACTTTCTTTTTTGTTTGTTTGTTTGTTTGTTTTTTTCTAACTAGAGCAAATTATTTGGATTTTTGGTTTGTAATAAACGTGATTTGCTGACTCGTGTTATTGCGTCTTGTTTTATTTTTGTTTTTGTTTTTTGTTTGTTATTTTTCTTTTTAGATTTTTTCTCTTTCTTTCTTTTTCTTCTTTTCTTTTTTCTGCCTTTTTTTTTTTCTTTTGTTCTTTTTTTTCTTTTTTCTGCTTTCTTTTTTTTCTTTCTAGTCTTCTTATTCTTCCTTTCTTTTCTTTTCTTCCTCCTGCTTCCTCTCCTCTTTTTTTCTTTTCTTCTTATTTTCTTGTTCTTCTTTCTTCCTCTTCTGCTTGCTATTTTTATCTACTTACCTTTTTTCTGTTTATTCTGTGTCGTGTAAAGATTTTGCTAAATCTACATTTCCGAAATAATAATAATTCTCAAAAAACGCAAAAAATGTATATATATAATAACAACAATACCAATAAACGAAAAGAAAAGAGAAAGAGAAGAGAAAAAGGGAAAATAATGGATAACTGTCAAGATGGAGAATAACAAGAAAACGTCATTTCCAAACAAGAATCATAAAACCAGTTAGGATTAGCCAGTCGAGGACGACGACGACTGCGGTGGATGTCGCCAAGGAAGTCGTCTTTGGCGAATAGAGGTGGTCGTCTTTTCACGTCCTTGAGTGACTGTGAGGACGACTTGAGTGACTCTAAGGACGACCTGAGTGACTGTGAGGACGACTTGAGTGTGAGGATGACTTGTTGACTGTGAGGATAACTTGAGTGACTATGAGGATGATTGTAAGGACGACTTGAGTGACTGAGGAGGACCTGAGTGAGTGACTGAGTGACTAAGGTCGACCTGGTGACTGTGAGGACGACTTTGAGTGTGGAGGATCGACTTGTTGACTGGAAGGAATAACGAGTGACCTATGAGGATGATTGTAAGACGACCTTGACTGACTGAGGACGCACCTGAGTTGACTGCTGATGGGCACGGTGACTTGAGTGACTAGGACGACTTGAGAGTGACTGAGAGGACCACTTGAGTGAACTGTGAGTGACTGGTGAGGGCACTTACTTGAGGTGGACTATGGAGGATGATTGCTAAAGGAGACCTTGAGTGACTGAGAGGACGACCTGATGACCTGTGGAGGACGACTTGAGTGACTGAGGACGACCTGAGTGACTGTGAGGACGACTTGAGTGACTGTAGGACGAACCTTGAGTGACTGTGAGGACGACCTGAGTGACTGTGAGGACGACCTGAGTGACTGTGAGGACGACCTGAGTGACTGTGAGGACGACTTGAGTGACTGTGAGGACGACCTGAGTGACTGTGAGGACGACCTGAGTGACTGTGAGGACGACCTGAGTGACTGTGAGGACGTTGAGTGACTGTGAGGGACGGACTGAGTGACTGTGAGGACGACTTGTGAGTGACTGTGAGGACGACTTGAGTGACTGTGAGGATGACTTGTTGACTGTGAGGATAACTTGAGTGACTATGAGGATGATTGTAAGGACGACTTGAGTGACTGTGAGGACGACCTGAGTGACTGTGAGGACGACTTGAGTGACTAAGGACGACCTGAGTGACTGTGAGGACGACTTGAGTGAGGACTTGTGAGTGAGTACGAACCTGAGTGACTGTGAGGACGACCTGAGTGACTGTGAGGACGACCTGAGTGACTGTGAGAGACTGACCTGAGTGACTGTGAGTTGACGACCTTTGAAGTGACTGTGAGGACGACCTGAGTGACTGTGAGGACGACCTGAGTGACTGTGAGGACGACCTGAGTGACTGTGAGGACGACTTGAGTGACTGCGACGAGGAACTTGAGTGACTGTGAGGACGACTTGGGTGACTGGAGACCTGACTGTGAGTGACCTGAGTGACGGTGACTGAGTTGTGCGACTTGAGTGACTAAGGACGACCTGAGTGACTGTTGTGAGTCTATTGTGATTCTTGGACGACTTGAGTGAACTAAGACGACTTGAGTGACTGTTGATGTGAGGACGACTGAGTGATTGTGAGGACGATTGAGTGACTAGGACGACCTGACGACTTTGAGTGACTAAGGACGACCTGAGTGACTGTGAGGACGACTTGAGTGACTAAGGACGACCTGACGAGACTTGAGTGACTAAGGACGACCTGAGTGATTGTGAGGACGACTTGAGTGACTAAGGACGACTTGAGTGACTGTGAGGACGACCTGAGTGACTAAGGACGACCTGAGTGATTGTAAGGACGACTTGAGTGACTAAGGACGACTTGTTGTGAGGACGACTTGAGTGACTAAGGACGACTTGAGTGACTGTGAGGATGACTTCGGTGATTCTAAGGACTTGTGATTCTATGGACGACCTGAGTGGCACTAAGGACGACTTGAGTGACTGAGGATGACTTGGGTGACTGTGAGGACGACTTACTCTTGGGTGACTCTAAGGACGACTTGATGACTGTGAGGATGACTTGAGAGACTAAGGACGACTTGAGTGACTGTGAGGACGACTTGGGTGACTCTATGGATGACCTGAGTGATTGTGAGGACGACCTGACTATTTTTTCTTGACGTGAATGATTTTAGTTGTGAGTAACTACGACTGTAACTATGATTATAGCTCTAGTTATAACAAAAACTGTACATACAAATAAAGATAGGCCTACAATTACGATAATATCTACAACTATTACTACAACTATAACTATAACTACAACCCTAAATACAGTTATAATTATAACTACAACTGTTGCTATAAGGATTAATACATCGCGATGACTTTTCTTCTTATGAATTCTATGGTGATCTGGAAAACGACAGAAAACAGCTTTAGGTGACAATAACAAAACGCATGACGTTTTTTTTTTTTTTTTTTTTTTTTTTTTTTTTTTTTTTTTGATGGGGCGGTAGCATTTGAATATAGCTGCAGAAATTACGATGATTTTCATAACGTTCCGAAGAGCCGTGAAAATTGCTATGATTTCGGTGATGATGGTGGTGATTTCGCTCAAGCTGTGTATGGCTGCGTACTTTATTGTGGTCTTGAAAGTGAGTTTTTGTATTTGTATGTATTTGCCTGTATGATATGGTCTAAAATCGTGTCGTTGGTTGTCGTAGGTTTGTAGCTTGGTTTAACTTGGCTTGACTTGGTTTAACTTGGCTTATAATAATCTAAAGCTGATTTGATATAGTATGAATTGGCCTAACTTAACCTAAATCTAAATCCAACATAGCATAAATTAACGTAAATTAAGACTGAAGAACATTGACTGGACGCGCTATAGATTCCCCAAGCGACCACAGCTAAAGAAGTTCGATACGTTACAGACGGTATAAATGTTTAAAATAGATAGTCATAGCGTTACTCGTCTCGGTCTTGCAGCATAGACCAGTGACTAACTTAACGCTGACGTAGGCTGTTCGACTCCTCCAGACACGTCCGAAAGTAAGAGGTGTTATGCATGGAGACGGGAAGCGGCCATAAAACACTTGCGATGCAGAGAGCGGCGACGGCGAGAGATTCGGCAGACGGAGTGTGAGAGCGTCTGCGCGCGTGTGGCCGAGACACCGTTGGCCGGCGCGTCCACCGTCCACGTGCTGAGACTGGTGATCGGCTTACACCAATGATCCCATACATGCGTGATTCACCCGCTAAGGCTGGCCGGACGACACAGCCGCGGCTTAATTGGGCGAATGCGTCCTGCTGCGGTGGAAAAGCAATCACTGATGGATTACCAAGGTTCCCACAAAAACTAGGCTCGACCATGTGACCCTCTGGAATCCAGCCCCCGAACGAGGAAGTCCCTCGCTGGACGCGCTCAGACACATTCAGGAATTCTGGACGAGAGGGAAGTAGGCGGGGCCGCCCATAGCAGCAGGCGGCGCCAAAATGTATGGAGGAGATGGGAATGTAGGTGACGGGGCGGGGCTCCTTCGGTGACGTAACCCGAGTGAGTGCCTCGCCGCGCGCGCCGACCACTCACGGCGCTGAAAGTCCATGACGTCACGCGTGATGTAGGCGGTGCCATCATACGTCACAGCTGAGGTTGGTTGCTTGCGGGCTTTGAATGTGGGGTAACGTGTAATGTAGGTCTCCTGGAGCCACTAGCAGCATTATTAAGTATTGAACAGCAGTGCCGTGTGGACGTACAGTGGCCCGACTCTGAAAAGCTTGGTAGGTATCGAGTGGCACCTGAGTTCCTCCGAGAAGACAGCCGAGTCCAGAGGTGTTCGCCTCCGCTGGCTAAGTCGATCTCCACTTTGATCAAATGAAGGATTCGTGACGGAAACTTCAAGAAACAAGTGTTCTGAAAAATACATATAAGAATATATACCACAGGAATTCCCTAGACGAAAACTTAGGAACGGGAAGTTATAAAGTGCTAGTGACTTCAACGCACGGTAAGAAGGAATCCGAGAAAGTATTCTGGATCCCTGGCTGTGGATGGAATTAACTGGATGTCATTAACTGTCGTTACTTTTTGATGTGTGATTTTCAATAGTGAATGTGCTGACAACGTGTGCCGATACTGGGAATACATCTCTATAACCTCGTGTATTACGGAATCTTAACGTAATGTCAAACTAGATTACGTGGAAGGGGTATATTAAAAATTCACTTCGATTACAATAGATTTTACAAAATTATTGAAAAAAAAAAGTACTCCAGAAAGTGTGGGTTAATGCTAGTTAATTTAGTTTTACAATAACAGATACCAAAACTCTTTTCAAGCCAAATCCACAAAAAATTTGATGATGAGGAGATTAACCCAAAGGCAGAAAACGGGGTCGCTCAATCACCAAGAAAAAGACTAAAGGTTACTCCCTAATGAGAGAACAATTGTTTTGTGCGAGACCGGAAACGAGCCGCGACGCGTGAGGTTGAGGCGGTAAACAACCGTTATAAGCAAGAGCAATTTAGCATGGGACAGGAAAGGGCCATTAGCGAGTCCTAGAAAACCACGTGGGCCTCAATCCATATCTGGGTCGTCTTGGGTCGATTCTTCTCCGTCAAGGTTAAGGACACGGGGCTTAGCGAGGCGAAGCGAAGGGGAGAAAGGGCAGGGAGGAATGGGAGAAGGAGGAGGGGGAGAGAAGGGGTGGAGGGGGAAGGGCAGGGAGGAATGGAGAGAAAGAGGGCCCGGTCTCTTGTGGCTTCGCTGCCGGGTTAGCGAGTGCCATTAGCTCTCCTCTTTGCAAGACTGGAAGATCTGTTGCCTTGTGCTTATCTAGCTTTCTCTCTCTCTCTCTCTCTCTCTCTCTCTCTCTCTCTCTCTCTCTCTCTCTCTCTCTCTTCTCTCTCTTCTCTTCTCTTCTCTTCTCTTCTCTCTCTCTCTCTTTCTCTCTCTCTCTCTCTCTCTCTCTCTCTCTCTCTCTCTCTCTCTCTCTCTCTCTCTCTCTCTCTCTCTCTCTCTCTCTCTCTCTCTCCTCTCTTCCCTTCTCTCTTCTCTCCGCTTACTTCTGGCTTTCTTCCTCGATGTCTCTTCGGCTCAACACGTATGACTCTCGGTGTCATCCAGAGAATATATTTCACCCATGGATGCGTGCACTTCCTCGTATCACTATTCGTTTTAGATTGTCGACCTTGCCCTCTATGCCAGTTGCACGACATCGTTACAGACCTATATGACAATCGCAGTAATTCAGACGAATGTCATAGATGATTTGAAAAGATGACACACACTCTTGTTTTGTGTAAAATGCACTTTATGTAGTTTCTGCTTCTCTCGCTTCCATAGAATTTATGACCGCCACTTCATGATCTATCTCCAACCTGTATGTTCTCCAGGCGCAACCACGCTCCACCCTGGAGTATAACCGATCTCTCTAGCTCTCTTTCTCACTGTATATTTGTATCTGTGTGTGCATCTCCGTGTCTGTCTGTATGCTTGTCTATATTTTCTCTTTTCCACCCTCACTATTTTACCTCATTCTCTCTCTTTCACTTCCCTCTCTTTCTTCCTCCCTCCTCCTTCCCTCTTCACTACCTTTCTTTCCTCTCTCCTTTCCTTCTCTCTCCTTCTCATCCTTCCTCTAATTCCCTTTCTCCTTCCTTCCCTCCCTCCTCCCCTCCCATCTTCCCTCCCGTCTTCCTTCCTTCCCTCCCTCCTTCCCATTCGTTAAAGTTCAAGCTCCGAGACGAAAGCAAGGTGCCGCTTTAGCCAGTTTGTTTACATTATGACTCCTTGGTTCCTTGTGCGTGTATAGTGTGCGTGTCGCCGGCCTCATAACGTGTTTATTTGCATCCTAGAGTTCCTAGCTTTTCCCATGCCTTGAGGTAAGGCGAGCGGTACTGTGTGTGTGTGTGTGTGTGTGTGTGTGTGTGTGTGTGTGCTTGTTTGCAACTGCATAAGCACGCGACAATGAATGTGTTTTTTCTTCTCATCTATGTCCGTCGATCAGTCTATCTATGTATTTGTCTATATATTCATCTGTCTACGTCTCTACCTATCTGTCAATCCATCAATCTATCTACCTATATCTATATATTTATCTGTTTATCTAATTATTTGCCTATATATCAATCTGTTCATCTATTTATGAATCTATCTATTTATCTATCTACCTTTATACACACATACACACATATATACAGACACCACATAAATATGTATATGTACATATATATATATACATATATATGCATGTACATGTGTATATATATGTATTCATTCATATATATATATATATATATATATATATATATATATATATATATATATACATACATATGTATGTATGTATGTAGATATATACATATATATGTATGTATGTATATATACATTTATGTATCATATACATAAATATACTCTATGTATGCTGTGTATGTATATATATATATATATATATATATATATATATATATATATATATATATATAGTATGTGTGTGTGTGTGTGTGTGTGTGTGTGTGTGTATGTATGTATGTATATGTATGTGTCTGTGTGTGTATATATAATATATATATATATATATATATATATATATATATATATATATATATATATATATGTATATATATGTATATATAATGTATACACATATGTATATATATATATATATATATATATTATATATACATATATATATGTTATATATATGAATTTATATATATATATTATATAGATAGACTGACAGAGAGAGAGATCCAGGGAAGGCTGAAGGAAGCGCGTAGCCTAAATCCGGCGCGTCCCGTACAGGCCCCTCGTGACCCTGGCCCGACCTAGTGGTGAGCGTTCAAACCGCCGCCAGGAGACCCCACCCCCCTCCCTCCCTCCACCCCCTCCTTTCCCTCCCGCACTTCAGTGAGGTCTGGGGTCTCCCTCTTCAATGCGTGTTTCGTTTTGGTGTTATTTTTTTTTCTGAATTTGTTATTTTGGGGGGATGGTGATGGTAGGGGAATCCGGATGATTTGTGAAAGAATTATTTATACGTATTTTCTTCTCCTTTTTCAATCAAAGCGTGTTAAGATTATCGCAGATTCATCAATCGATTCAGTAATATTTCCAGCGATAATATATTGTTATAAAAAAAATCAAAACAGATTCAATAGATACAAAACAAAACCCGAAAAAAAGGCAAGGAGCGAGCGAGCGACGTGACCCGGGAATGGCGGCTTCAGCGGCGGCGGCGGCGGCGGCGGCGGAGGTAGCGGGCAAGACGTCGCAACTCCAGACCATTAAGTTCCGCTACTAAAATTACGGCGCCGATACTTTGATTTTCTTGCGATGCGAAGCAGCAGTAGGTCAGTGGGTCTGCTGCGCTCCGGGATAAGGGTGGGGGGGGGATAGGGAGGGGCGTGGGGTGGGGGGGGTGTTATGGTGGTTGATTTTTTAATGTTATTTTTACCTGTTTGATTATTTCGTTTTTTTTTCCGCAAGGGGAGGGGGGGGGAGTGGAAGGTTAGGTGTGATTCTGTGTTGTGTTGTGTGTGGATGTGAGTGCGTATGTGTGTGCGTGTGTGTGAATGTTCGTCTGTATGTATATTCTCATGTGTAAGGAAGTTATAAGCTATGTAAGGCAAGATAAAATTATCCTTCAGTCTTCAAGAAAAATATACAACCCACCAGTACCTCATCAAACACGATATTAATCTTCATTAGATGCTAATTACACTCTTGATAATGAGATATATCAGCGTAACAATACAAAAAAAACATAGGATGGAAAGACAAGTTCTCTTTGTGAAATTGTGACAGCTCATCCACAGGGGTTACACAGTGGGTTAGAGCACGTGGTGGTAGCGTGACGATGCTAAATGGGACACGGGTTGAAGAAGAATGCGAAAAAGTGGAAATAGAGGCTGTCTTGTTAGACTACGTGTCATCATTTTTTTTTTAAGATAATGTCGTAATTTTGAAGATGGGGACATAGAGATAGAGTTACGTATCTCGTATTGATGGATTTATACTTGCCATTTATATCTTTCTTTGCGGAGTAGGTGAAGTTCTTAGAATGTTATGAAAGAGGTGGATATTATTGGGTAGATGGATTAATCCGTGTCATTTATCCCTTTGAAGTTCTTAGCACTTTGCAAAAGAGTGAGGTGGATATTAGGTTTTGAGGGAAAGTATCAAGTGACAGCAAACCGTGGGAATTTAAGGCAAGCAAATAGCATGACGCGAGAATTGCTTCATAACGTCATATGACAGTGCAGAAGAGGATAATATGATACCGCTTGAACAGGCTAGAGGAACCTGTCATGGCAGAACGCAACAAAGCATGACAGAAGTTTTACAGTCACGTGAAATGAAGCTGGAAATCGCGACATGATACAATGCACAACTTGATACAACCTGACATGAAATGACATGTAACGTGAAATACTTTTGTTCATGTGTGTAGGGCAGTCACGTGATAATATAATCTTAGGCGTATCAGCAATGACCCACTAACTTGAAATGAATCACCGTAGTGACACACTTATGAGACTCATTGTATCAGGATAGTGACACACCCAGAATAAAACACTGTATTACAATCATATAAACTTAGCGAGCATAGCATTTACAGGATCGCAGTTGCTCGTGAATAGGACACTGGGACAGGAAGTGCCACAGTAGACTTGGCACAGGTAGGAGTCTAGGGCAGTATGGCAGAGGACCAGACGTGCCACGAGACACTCCCTGTGTAGTCTGGTGTAGCTGGGGAAGCCGCAGTGCCCCACCTGTGTCCCGGGGGAAGAAAACCCGCGCCCAGGGATGCCATAATGACACAAATACCTGTTACGCAAATTAGTGAAAGCATCATGTACAATTCTGGCCTCTGATTTGAAAGATTTTGAGAGAGAGAGAAAAAAAAATGGTCGAAGATATTTTTAAACGTCACGTCAAGTTGACAAACAAAACCCACGTAAATATGCACACATGACGGGTTTCGGGCAATTATGAAAGAAAAGAGAAGTTAGACTTGAACACCTGGAGAAGGAGGCTCGACCGGCTCAGCGACTCCCTTCCCCCTCTCCCCCCCTCTACCTCCTCCTCTCCTCTTCCTTTCTCTCCTCTTCCTTCTTTCCTCCTAGCCCTCTCCCTGCTTCCCTTTCTCAACTCCTTCTATCTCTCTCTTCTCAATCCTCCTCTCCCTCCTTTCCTTTCCCTCTCCCTTCCTCTCTCCTTGTTCTCGTCTCCCTTCCTCTTCCCCTCTCCCTTCGCTGCTCCTTGTCCTCTCCCTCATTCTCTCTCTCCTTCCCTTCCTTCCTCTTTGTATCTTTCTTTCCTCCTCCCTTTTTCTTCCTCTCCTCGTCCTCTCACTTCTTTCCCTCTCCCTTCCCTGCTCCCCGTCTTCTCCCTCCTTCCCTCTCTATCTTTCCTCATCCCTTTCCCTCTCTCTTACTCCCTTTCCATCCCCTTCTTCCTCTTCCACCTCTCCATTCCTCCCCTTCCCCATCCCCCTCTCCTCTTCCCCTCCTCCTCCCTTCCCCATCCTTTTCTCTTCTTCCCCCCCTCTCCCCTTCCTCCCTTTTCCCACCCCCCTCTCCTTTCCTCCCTTTCCCATCCCCCCTCCTCTCTTCCCCCTTCCCTTCCCCATCCTTTTCTTCCCCCCTCCCTTCCTCCCTTCCCCATCCTTTTCTCTCACCCCTTCCCCCCCTCCTCCTCTTCCCCCGCCCACCGCCCCTTTCACACACACAGACCGGCCGTGGCATTGACCGAGGGCGCGCGCGGCCTACCTGACGGGTCGCGAAGGGAGGGGGAAGGGGGGTAGGGGCCGGCTGGGGAAGCGAGCCAGACGAGCAAGTTCAAGGACTAGCATGAGACGAGTACTACGCCGCCGACCAAGAAGGAAAGGGCGGGGGGAATGTGTGCGTGCGTGTGTGTGTGTGTGTGTGTGTGTGTGTGTGTGTGTGTGTGTGTGTGTGTGCGTGTGTGTGTGTGTGTGTGTGTTGTGTGTGCGTGTGTGTGTGTGTGTGTGTGTGTGTGCGTGTGTGTGTGTGTGTGTGTGTGTGTGTGTGTGTGTGTGCTGTGTGTGTGTGTGTGTGTGTGTCTTTGCGTGCTTGTCTGTCTCCGTATGTGTGTATCAATGAGAGAGAGAAGAAAGAGAAAAGAAGAAAAAAGAAAGAGACAGCGAGAGAGAGAGAGAGAGAGAGAGAGAGCGAAATAGATAAAGAAAGAAAGAGAGAGAGATACAGCCAACAGGAAAAGACATACTAGTGTATCTATATATCAAAGTATTCTAAGACCGCGTGTATGCATAATCTTAACAATCTATCTATACGTGGAATATAAAGTCTCTCTTTTCCATTCTATTCTTATTCTCTCTCTATTCTCTTTCTATTTATTCTTTCTATCTATACGCGGAATATATAACCGCTCTTTCTCCATTCTATTCTTATTCTCTCTCTCTTTCTTTTTATTCTTTCTATCTATACGCGGAATATATAAACCGTTCTTTTCTCCATTCTATTCTCATTCTCTCTTTATTCTCTTTCTTTTTATTCTTATCTATCGCGGAATAAATAACCCCTCTTTCTCCATTCTATTCTCATTCTCTCTTTATTCTCTTTCTTTTTATTCTTTCTATCTATTCGCCTCTTCTCCATTCTATTCTTTCTCTCTTTATTCTCTTTCTTTTTTATTTTCTATCTATACGCGGAAATAAAATCTCTCTTTTCCATTCTATTCTTATTCTATTTCTCTTTCTATTTATTCTTCTATCTATACGCGGAATATATAACCGCTCTTTCTCCATTCTATTCTTATTCTCTCTTTATTCTCTTTTTTTATTCTTTCTATCTATATCGCGGAATATATAACCGCTCTTTTCATTCTTTTCTTATTCTCTCTTTATTCTCTTTCTTTTTATTCTTTCTATCTATACGCGGAATATATAACCGCTCTTTCTCCATTCTATTCTTATTCTCTCTTTATTCTCTTTCTTTTTATTCTTTCTATCTATACGCGGAATATATAACCGCTCTTTCTCCATTCTATTCTTATTCTCTCTTTATTCTCTTCTTTTTATTCTTTCTATCTATACGCGGAATATATACCGCTCTTTCTCTTTCTATTCTTATTCTCTCTTTATTCTCTTTCTTTTTTTATTCTTTCTATCTATACGCGGAATATATAACCGCTCTTTCTCCATTCTATTCTTATTCTCTCTTTATTCTCTTTTCTTTTTATTCTTTCTATCTATACGCGGAATATATAACCGCTCTTTCTCCATTCTATTCTTATTCTCTCTTCATTCTCTTTCTTTTTATTCTCTCTATCTATACGCGGAATATATAACCGCTCTTTCTCCATTCTATTCTTATTCTCTCTTTATTTTCTCTCTATCTATACGCCCTCTCTTTCATTCTATTCTTATTCTCTTTTTCTCTTTTCTTTTATTCTTTCTATCTATACGCGGAATATAAAGCCTCTCTTTCTCCATTCTATTCTTATTCTCTTTTTATTCTCTTTCTATTCTATCTATACGCGGAATATATAACCGCTCTATCTCCATTCTATTCTTATTCTCCCTCTATTCTCTTTCTTTTTATTCTTTCTATCTATACGCGGAATATATAACCGCTCTTTCTCCATTCTATTCTTATTCTCTCTTTATTCTCTTTCCTTCTGCGGTCGAGCTTTATTCCAACGGAAACTAAATCGTCTGCGGTGTCGGCGAACATGTCCCGCCATCACGTGCGCAAAGCGAGTCTCATTTGTTTCTCGAAGTCAGGATTTTGTTTTTCTAAAAATGCCTAATTAGCCGCCGTTCCGTTGCTTCTTTAATGACGAATGTGTATTATTTTCTCTCTTTTTGAATAGCGAATGTTGTTGTTTTTCTCTCTCTCTCTCTTTCGTAACATTTTTTCTTTTCTTTTTTAATCTTTTGGATGAATTTTTTGTCTCTCTCTCTTTCTCTTTCATGATTATTTTTTTTCATTTTTCTTCTTTTTTAATGATTTTTTTCTCTCTTTTTTCAGACAAGAGGCCGGGAGTGACGCCCGAGGAACTATGTTATTACTAAGAGTGTGTTGGATGACCTTCCTGCTCGCCCTGGTAAGTAAAATTGTTCTGTTCCTTTGGACCTTAGATGGGGAGATAGATAGACCGATAGACAGATAGATAGATAGATAGATAGATGGGAAGATAGATAGATAGATAGATAGGTAGATAGATAGATAGAAGATAGATAGGTAGATAGATAGATAGCAGATAGATAGCAGATAGATAGGCAGTATACAGAGATAGATAGATTGACAAATAGATGGAAACATTCACTCGAAACACACACAAATAAACAAATGAAGGCGGATATAGAGACAGAAACACGTGCATATGGATAAATACTAAAGATCCAGCTATAATATAAAGGCAAATAGCGAAAAAATGCGAAACAGACAGACAGAGACAGACAAACAGACAGACAGACAGACAATCAGACACATAACACGCATGAACCTCCTCTGCCCCAACGAACAACCCAGGGCCGTCAGAGAGGAACCCCCATCGCTCCACATCCATCAGGGCGAGAAAGCATGGCATAAATACCGCAAGAACCCGGATTGCATTCAAGAAAACCCCTCCGCTCGCTTTCGGGGGAGTCATTAACATGCAAGCATCATGCGAAAAGAGCTTGTATTCTGCATTTTTACACCGTCGTCAAAAGCGACCATTACGCCTTAAAAAGCGCTTCTGTCTAATTCTCTATTCTTTCCCAGCCTTTCTCTCGAATTACACCCTCTTCTGCCCTCTCCGCCGTCTGTCTGTGCCTCGTCTTTCATTCCTCCGTCGACGTATCCTCATTTATCCGTTCTTCTGCGCTTCCCTTCGCTGCCATTTTGCGGTTAGGCCATATCCCCTTTCGCTTATGCACGACGGGGAATGCGGGTGTAATGATATTTCATCTCCTTGCCCTTTACAATGCTTTTCTCATTATTAGACGATGCTTCTGCTTGAGGTCATATGCATACGATAATTGAGGAGTTTAAGGCTTGCGCTAGGCGATGCTGTTCTGTTTTGTTTGTTTGTTTGTTTGTTTGTTTTGAGATTGTTCGAGATATGTGATTTGAAGCGAGAGAGAGAGAGACAGACAGACAGACAGACAGAGACAGAGACCGACAGACAGACAGAAAGAAAGAAAGAGGCAGAAGAAAGAAAAAACACAGACAGAGACAAAGAAAGTAAGAAAAACACAGACTCAGCGACAGACGCATCCAAACAAACAGACACAAACAAAGAGAAAGAACCAACCAAGCAAACCAAACAGAAAGACAAACAGAGATCCACGCTCTTTCATCCACCTGATTAAAAAGCCGAATCATCTATCTAAGCAAACTGCTCCCCCCTCCCCCCCCCCTCCCCCCCCTCTCGTTCACATCCCCGCCAGCCCCTAATTACCTTGTTCAGATACGCAGTCTTGTAATTAGCGACACCGACTTCGAGAGAATTTTAATTATGACCTCGATCGTGTATGTTGATAAGGGAGATAAGGATGTTTGATATAACCAAATAAGGAAAGTAGGATAAAGAAGGGTAAAAAGGAGAGAAATGGGGATGATGGATAATTGGATAAGAAGAAAGTAGAATTAGAGATAGGCGTTCGATAAGCGATGAGGGAAAAGGAAGACGAGAAGAAAGAGGAAATGGTTGATCAGCTGATAAACTGGGGAATAATGCCTTGTTAAAATAGAGGAAGATACAGATAGAAAATAATAATCAGAAGGAATGGAAATTACTATCAATTTTAAATAAAAATTGCCTGCCGTTAGATAAACCGGAGATGAAAGATACATGTGATAATGGTCGTAGAGATAGAGGAGAAAAATCAAATAAAGATTCAAGAAAACCAAGAAAAAGAAAGAAAAAAAGACAAATCACTAATCAGAAGAGAGAGAGAGAGAGAAGAAAGAAGAGAGAGAGAGAGAGAGAGAGAGAAGGAGAGAGAGAGAGAGAGAGAGAGAGAGAGAGACAGAGAGAGAGAGGGAGAGACAGACAGACAGAAGAAAATCACCAATTTCTTCAAGAGAGATCAAAAAGACGTATTGGTAATCGTCGCATAGATGGAGAAGTTATGGAATGTGCTAAGGGGTTGAGGAAGGAGGGGGGGGGGGTAGCGGCGGCAGAGCAGAGAACGCTAAGTGGGTTAGCGTGTTCCGGGGGCTGGGGAGGGGGGGTAGGGGAGAGGGGGCCTAGATTTTGCAAGTCACCTTACGCGCTAACAACAACCCAGTGCGTCGAAATATTAAGTATTTTTTTCTTTCTTTTTCTTTTTTTCTCTCTCTCTCTTCTTTCTCTCCCTTTTCTCTCTCTGCGTATTTGTTTGATAAAAAGGAACATTGTGTATAATGGAATTGATAGAGCTAGATTCGAATAGAATTAGGGAACGAAAATATTATAATATCAACGATACATAAAATCGCATAGAATAGGCTTTACTTTAGAAGAAAAAAAAACTCATTTTATCCTATTTATCTTGCGCCTATGTCCATCACAGCTCAACGAGACAAGGCAAACACCCACTGAAAGGCGGTATTGTCAGCATACAATTGCATATCAGTCAGGCCATCACATTAAACCTTGTCTGATTATCATCGATCTTTGTTGAGCGACTAACAGGTCACGGTTCATATATATATATTTTTTTTATCAATGTCGTGTATCTTACTCTCTATATGTATGCTTTTGTAAATTTTCTATGTAAATGTAAATGAATTATCGTGTTTTATATGCTTTTGTAAATTCTCCATGTAAATGTAAATGTATTAGCGTGTTTTATTTGTTTGTTTGTTTTTGTTTTATCATACGGTTCGTGATATGTTGCTCATCCACCGTATGGGAAAGTATGTAGGTCAGTTATTAGCTACTTTCTGATAGATAACAATGCGATCCCGAGCAGCCATGCAGCCCCGTGATAAAAGACCCCTTTCGATGTCAAGTCCCTCTCAAGATGGACTTTGTTTACCGCTCATTATACATGCATCTAGGCCGTGTTTGGTCGTCCCACTTACTCCGGCCTATCGTGCCCGGGCTTTTAGGCCTATGTGGACGCGCCCCTCCTCAGCCTCTTTCGGGGCGACGGCAGATCTTATCATAATCAGAGTGTTTTGTCGATGTTTCTCCGGCCGAGTGGCTGTGTCTGCCGCCTCGGACATGCGTTCATTCCCCTTCCCTCCGCCTGCCTCTTCCCCCTTCAGCGCCCCCTTCAGCATTCCTGTCTTAATCATGTGGATTAAAGCACCCACATCCGCCCTCCAGCCCGACGGATCCTGCCGTAGGATGATGGAGAGTCCCTCTCTCCGCGCAGCCTCTGGGCCCTGTCATAAGAGGCCTCTTAGCGGGTCCTCCATCCTTCACTCAGGGCCCATTCAGTCAGGCCATCCGGTCGCCCTTACGCTCCCATTCATGCTCTTTGCCGCCTCGCTCGCTCCGCCTCGGCTCTCTCGCGTCTTCGCTCTCCCTCTCTCTCTTCTCTTCTCTTTTTTCTTCTCTCTCTCTCTTCACTCATTCACTCACTCACTCACACTCTCTCGCTCTCATTTCTTTTCTTCTTCTCTCTCTCTCTCTCTCTCTCTCTCTCTCTCTCTCTCTCTCTCTCTCTCTCTCTCTCTCTCTCTCTCTCTCTCTCTCTCTCTCTCTCTCTCTCTCTCTCTCTCCTCTCCTCTCCTCTCTCCTCTCTCTCTCTCTCTGGGTCACACGACTTATACATTTCCCTCGCCCTAGACCACCCATAAACCCTCGGTCAGACCACCCATCCCTGCTCGTTAGCTACCTAGGCCTATATAAGCGTATGCCGCCATGCCTTAACTATCATAATTGCTTGTTCGTCATAATTATCAAGGTTACTTTGCTCTCGCTCGACCGTACTTTCTCAGGATCCCGATCGGCAATGGGTCAAGCCGCATGGAACAAAATATTTCGTTTTCTTTTTTTTCTTTTATAAGAATTGTATAATAAGAGCTTTTAAATTAGAATAATCCATTTAAAAATAATAATAATAATAAAACAAAATATTTACATCATCTCAATTTCCTTTTTTCGGCATTTTAGAATAGATTTAAGAAAGGAAAAATTAAAAAAAAACAATACGCCCGTGGTCGCTTGAGGGGGCAAAGCGAGAGGGCGCACCGACGTCGCATAATCGTGACATATGACAAATGATAACAACGTTGCTTCTCCAGCTGTTTGATACATTGTGCAATTAATTGTTGAGGTCGAGGCGTGAAATCCTCCATTTTGACGCGTCGGAAAGAAAGCACTGCTGTTCTGGTCGAAAATGTTTAGGTTAGAGCATTTTGTAACGGTTAGGACGAGAAGCCGGTCGGAAAATGTGTTTTTTTTTTTTTGGTGTTTGTTTTTGTTTCTTTTGTGATATATGAATAACGATGCTGTTGAAATGAAATGCGTATGTTGTTTTTATTCGTTCTTCAGCTTTTTCTTTTTTCTTACTCGCATCAGTGCTGTCTCTTATCCACTTCTTTTACAGCATATGCATCCTTACATCTTCCTATATACTTTCTTTTCCTTTTTTTCATACATCTTCCGCCTCCCGGTTCTCTCTTCTCATCTCCGTCTTTACTTCCTTCTTTTTTTTTTACGGAAGTTAATTCAAAAGAATTCAAAAAAAGGAAAAAGAGTCAGTTACTCATATCTAAACCAAAATCACTTTTTTTTTTAGTTTATTGCATTGTTTGGGGGGGGAAATCAGCTCATATTCAAATCAAAATAACTCTATTTAGTTTATTGCATTGCTAATTCCGATTCCAAGCCGCTTACGAACAAATGAAGATCGTGATCCATTCACACACTGCCGAGATAATGGCGGAAAATAACCCGGATGTAGTTAAATGATGATTGTCTCGCTCGTATTTCCGGGTCAAGCACTGTCGCTTGCCGCCGGGAACTCCTCTTTCCGCTGTCGTCTCCTTCTCTTTTCCTACTTATTTTTTCTCATTTTCTCTCTTCCTCCCTTTCTCTCTCTCTCTTCCTTCCTTTGGAAAATGTTTAATGTGCTATTTACGCTCTCTCGTATTTTTATCTCGCTTTTTTTCCATCTCTCT